GCCCGATGCTAATTTTCACGTACCCGCTGAGGCCCGCTGTATTTTCGCCCAGTATGTATAGCTCACAAGTTGCGCGGCATGGCAGCTTGCTTGCCACTGTTGCACATGTTGACTACGGTGCTTCATAGTCCCTAAAGCAAGCATCTTTCTTTTTTTTTCTGCTATTATTCCTTGGATTAATAAATCTGTGGGCATAAACAGCTCATTAAAAAAATCCCTTCTATCGTTTTGTGAGAAAGCACACATATTGAAAATGACTAAAAAATAAAAATGGCAAGCAACAGTAAACAGAACCATGTGCCAAGGTTGCAAAGGAAGGGAAACGTCACGACAGGTTCGGACAAAAGACGGGCGAAGTTCTAAATTGCCTACTCTCGTTGTGTAAAGCAATCGAAAAAGAAAAGAAAAAAACTACCGCCGTCTCTTGCAGTGGTTTCTGAGAAACTGTTTAGCAAAAGCACCCTTGAGACGAACCTCTTCATCCATATTGTGGATGCATGCACTTGTATGTACAGATGATGTACGCCTGCGAGGGTATGCAATGTCTAGGCGCTTGCTTATCTGTGCGTGTTAATAGAAGAGGGACTACGATAGCGGCGCCGCAGGCAACGAAAATGAACGCCGTGGCGCTGGTGCTCTGGCAGAACATTCGGTGCACAAACACACATGCTTTCAGTATTTGTACCTCCCCAACTGTAGACCCTCCCGCAACCCCCCAAACAAACTTTGAAACACAATGCTGCGAAAAAAAAAGTTAAAAAGTAACGCTTTTTTGGGGGGAGGGGGGGGCTCTATTTGTTTTTTTTCGAAAACATTAAACCGACACATCTACAGCTATGTATTCTTACAATTTACCAGGACTCTGTTCCCCAAGCACAGGACTAAGACAGAGTAACCTCGGGTACAACGGGAGGGTCTCCAACCCCCTGCCGAAATTGGAGGAGGAGGTCCCGGACTCGAAGCACTGATGCAGATATGACGTACTAAGCTTTTTCTTGAGGTTCTTGTCGGATCTCTCACCAAGTATCCTTTCCGACTGAGTAATTGTGGTAACAATAATGTATGAATTGCAACTTTCTCAAAGTTTTGTTCGTGTTAGCATGGTTGCGATCTGTAGTAGATTTGTTAGTTTTCTTTGTAGGTTGATAAACCCACCTGTTTGCATTTTTATAAATGACTACAAATTTTTATCAATAGGTACATCGCTGACTTTTTTCGCTTCAAGCATAACCATGTTTTAATTTTTTCCTGTTTACAAAGAAATGTGAAACATATCACATCAAGTTAGTAGAACATACCTTCATGAATGGTCGGTGCAGCCTCTCCCACAGGGCCCGGCACGTGACATGGACTGCCTGTCGCGCTGTTTCCAGCCCAACCCTGTATAGCAGGGCCACGTCCTTGATCTGTTGGCCAGATGATAGGTAGCTGCAATAGAACAGAATGAAATACAGAGTGCAACCTTTGCTCGCTTCATTGATGCATCTTACTTCACACGACCAGTCTATGCAAGTTTGGCTGACTGATCGTAACCTTCGTCGCTAGCTTTCGTTCGTTGGAAGGGCTATGTGATGGGAATGGGAAGTTTTCATTGCCATATTTTTCACACATTATGCGCAGGCAGACTCAAAGAAATGGCTATCACCCTAGACGGGAATATCTGACCCACATGTAAACAATAGAGGCAGCTTCTGAAAATACGATACCTCAGGGCAATCGCAAGGCGTTCTTCCGATGGAAGCGGCTCACGGATGAAGAACTGCCGTGTCAGGTCCTCCTTCACCATGTCGTGCAGTTCACCAAAAGTCGGAGGCGTCATGCGGTAAAACCTCACAAAGAAGTCGACGTCGCCGTCTCTCATACGTTTCATCTGAAGTGAAGAAATCACAAAGTGTTATGCATGCGAATGCACATAAGTCACGTGAGAGGAGCTTACCGCAGTATGGTAAAGTCCTTCTTCTCTTCGCTTCTCGAAGATTGGGCGAACCCACCATTTACGCTCTACTCGTGCTCTTTTCTTAACTAGCAGCTGCAAGAGCACGAGCCTCTTGCGCAAAAGAAGCACGTCCAGCTCGCGCTCCATTTTGTCCGCGTCACAGAGCTTTGTTAAAAGTAATATATTAATCCGAGAGACAAAGGTAATAAATTGACACTATCGGCAATAACAGCAGCTACGCAACCTCTGATCTGTAGCGGCCAGCGTTTTGGCACGGGAGATGGTGATGCCAATGGCATACCTAAAGGTGGATGAGGCGTACGCACTAAAAAGGATGAAAATAAGAGATATTGAGCTTAATTAGAATTGCTGTAATAAAAATGGTGCTTAATATTAATAAAATTAAATATTACGGCATGCATCTATTATTTAACGCGCGATTCCTACTTCAGCTTTGCTTTTGTTTCTCAAGCGCGTCTGGCTACGTTGGGTGGACGCTTCGGAAACGCAGACGCGAAGCGCAGCCCGGTAGCGCCGCGTGTGGTTTGACTGGGCGCGCGCGTCCTGCTTAGCGCGCGCGCCAAGCCGAGACGCGCGTCTAGACGCACTGAAAAACGCGCCATGTGGGCTAGCCTTAACAGAGCCTTTAGTCTGCGGGAGTGTCGAAACAAAATTTCTTTTAGTTTGGCTCGGGTTTACGGCTTTGGTTTCAGTTCCGGTTCATTTTTGAGGAGCAAAAAGCAGTTTGAACCGCTTTTTGCTCCCCGAAACTGAACCAGGTTTTGGAGAGCAATTTAGCTGTTCAAACCGGTTCAAACCAGTTTGAATAGGTTTGAATTGCTAAATTGAGAATATATTTCCCACGCTGTTTCGGCCATTCGCAACTCCAGCCTGCAGCTCGCCCTCTTGCGGACAAACTAAGAACCAGAAAAGCGAAGATGGCGGCAGAGACGATGGCGAGGACTGTCGGCCCTGGTGCTGCTGTTCTGGTCGGCATGTTCATGCATCATGCAGTTTTCACGAAAAAAACAACAACTAGTGATTCAAACAGGAATTGTTGGGGCCCACTTCGGAACAGCGTTGCACAAGGGGACCGGGATGTCTCATTTTATTAGGAACTTTTCGTAGATTGCATATGCTGCAGATTTCGGGTCCAGTGGTCGCCAGGACAGTCTGGGCTCAATGGGACGGTAAACACTCTCACTAGTAGTGCAAAGCTCTTGCATACAACCTAAGAAAAGTTTATTCTTTCAAGAAAGTAGGAAAGAACTGCTCACGCGACGGTGTATTCAGCGATAAACATCGGGAATGGGTTTGCATTTTATGCGCTGAAAGGCCGTGACAAAAAACGTGACAGTTTTCTCCAAGCACTTAAAAAAGACAAACTATGCGCACCCACTTTCAGTTAGTTACAAAAGCAAATAAAAAATGCTCGTAGCATTTTAAGTAAGTTACACAGGTGTAGTACAATGTATATTTGAATAGAGTTATGCTATACACACGACGACGTGCACCTCTAGCGGAAATGGCTATACGCATGACGTGGAGCGCTCATGCCCTTTGCCCCGCGGGGGGCACCTGTGAAGGCAGGTGTTTGTAGAGCACTATATAGCTCCTTCGGAGCAGAGTAGCGCAATCTAGAACGCCGCCTCTCGGCGACTAGCGGCGAATGCCCGGAGGTTCCAACTGCGGTCAGAAATGCATGGAGAACGTGAGAAAATCGTTGTTTCTCCAGTATTGTGGGAATGTACGGAATCGCAATCATTTTTGACATAATAATGGAACACTTTAGAATACTTTGCGCTAAGTTTTGTGCCCTGCAAGGACCCGACTTTTTTTTAAAGATTGCCTGAGCGGCATCATGCAGCAGACGACACGGCGACGTCACACCATTCACGTGACCCGCTCCGGCCAACCCGAAAAGCCCATCTCCGCTGCGAGCAAAAATCGTCTGCTTCAAACGCCATTGGCTTGGAAATTGCCTTCTCAAAATTTGCACACGCATCCGATATTGCTAAAACTTTGATAAAGTGTTTAGTGCTTTACTAACTTTACGACAGACTAGTTTTGAGAAGTGTGAACTCGCCATTCATTTTTTAATCAGCCGTGTTGTGTCGATGTCCATGTATTCTCTCATAGGGCGGGCCGCCTTCTGGAACCCTGAGTACCACGTGACTCGCGCCGAACCGCTCTGTCGGCCATGTTGTCGGCAAAACACGGGGTTCAAAGGATTGCGTTACTCTGCTCCGTAGGAGCTATATAGTGCTCTAGGTGTTTGGAGAGGCGTCTCCACGGACCCCGAGCCATGCGGGTTCGCCCGCCCATGTCTGGCTGTGCGTGGCTTTCCCGAGCCCGGGGTACACTGTAAAAAAATGGGCCGTCAAAATTACGGTAAGTTGACTGGCATTCTGGCTGCCAGCAACTTCTCGTAATTTATACGGCAGACCGTAAATTCAAATTTACTGCCTGACCGTCATCTCCCAGTAAATTAAACGGTCGCAGTAAAAAAAGATACCGTTAATTTTACGGGGTGATGCTGAACAGACCGTAAACGAGATTTACTGACTGCCGCTAAGATCACGGCATGGTGGCAGTTTATTTGCCGGTCAACTGACTGCTAATTTAATGGTCACCGTAAAAATGTTGACCGTTTAATTCACTGCCAGTTGGCCATCGTAAGAAGTAAATTGAAGGTGCAAACTGCTGGCACAATGAAGCGCTAGCACTTCGTACAACACGTCAGAAAGTATGGAAAATTCGACAAAAGTAAGCATTGTCGGATTTTATCATCTTCCCACCGCATTGTATGACATGCTTAGCGTTTCACTGCACATGTTTTGCTGCTTCGATTTACTTCCTACTACTGGTCAACAGACAATGAATCAAACAATCGGTCATGAAGTCTCCTTAGGTTAGCCATTTTGTGCCTGTAATATATGTGGCATGCTGTTTATTGTAATTGTAGTGTGGTCTTCATGTCTGCAATGCGATCGTTGTGTATGTACATGCAAATGCAATTAAGCCAGAACACAGCATAAATTATGTGTAGGATAGAAATAAAAAGAGAACATTTATTTACTTGGATGATGAGGACCCAGGTCCATATACCCTCTGATCTGGAAAAGAAAGAAACCAGTTATCAATATAACATATATAAATGTGCCAAAATAGAAGCAATTTAACAGATATGTTGTATAATGGTAGCCACGCTTTATTCACTGTGCAAAGAAACTAATGATGCTGATATTGTTTACAATGTTTGAAAGAAGCTTTATGTGACAACTGAACCCCCCCCCCCTCCCTCCCTCCCTCTAGCTGAGCTTCTCCTAATCAAGCCAAACTTCATTATATCTCAGTAGCTATATATTAGCCATGTAGTACATGTATTCTGGTTTTCTCAAATACCATTTTAGTATCCCAGCACAGCCCTATATACATGGGCAAATGAATGAGAGGATATGCACAAAGTTTGGCAGAGAGTGCTGCACAAAAATACAGCTATTTAATGGGAAAGCCTACTATTCACTTACTAGACATTTTTCAACTTCAGAGCTGAGTGAGTTTGTTTTCAAAATCAGGGGTTGACATTAATTAAGCAGCACACATAGAAATTTACTCCTCCTCTTCATCTAGTTAAGCTGGTTGACTGTTGTTGGCACTAACGTAGAACTAGTCTTTCCCCACCACCAGAGACTGCAATTCTCTTGCCACCGTGCACTAATGAAAACGCATCATTAATCTTTCTCTGACATGTTCCCACCGAAAGAGATGCGAATAGTCGTGGCCGGTTGCATCAGGGCAAGCTGCGAACGTCAGGCTTAGCTGGCAATAGAATCTCTGTGCACTGTGCCTAGTGTCACTTCAGATAAACAAATGGTTAAAGCAGTGTGCTCAGCACTTCAATTTGAGATGATATCCAAAATAAACATGGACAGCTTGTGATGCAGCTGCCACTTACATGCTTCTCATTTCATCGACCTATATTTGCCATGTATGAGATGCACTATACCTAGTGTGGCATCATTTCTCTTAAAATATATGACTGCATGCTAACCATGTCTCATTTCTAGCATCACAGAGGCATCTTTCATGTAGTTATAGGCAGCGTAGTAAAGCTATGCTTGAGTTTTAAGTGAGGCTAGGTAAGTTATGTTTCAACCCAATAGTGTTAATGCAGCAAAAGAACCCGGCGTCCAGCGTCGGCATGTCGAGAAAACCCCTCGATGTTTTGCGCCACGATCCCTTGTGCATGCAAGGGATCATAGGATTCCCCCCCCCCTCCCCACTGCTGCCCTCCCTGCCCTTGCCCCCACTTCCCCTCTCCTCCTCCACCCCCTGCCCTCCCGCTGTCGTGTCATACATTAAGGCCGATCATAAGTGTCCCCCCATTTTTTTTCACACAAGCAGCTGGGTGCTCGATCATTACCATACTCACCAAATTTAGACCCAAGTGCCATTGCTTATGGCTGCTGAAATCTTCCTGGTGCCAAGACCTTGTGTTGAATGAGCCCGAGCCCCATGTTGCATGCCTCGTTCCCACATAGGATGACCGACCTTCAACAGACATATTCAAACAGAACAGAATGAGTAGAAAACCACAGACTGAAAAAATCAAGGAAAGTAACTCCAAGCTAGTGCTGATGTGATGTAAACGGTCAGAGTAATTTCGGAGCACCTTCTGGGCCAGCCAAAAATATATTTTCAAGCAACAAAAGGAAGTTTTGGATTTCGAAAGCACACTTCCTATTCATTCTGTTGTGAATACTACATTAAGACCCCCCCCAGATCTGTTTGCCCGTGAAAACTAGAAGACAATGCCTGCTTCCCTTTCCCACCCCTGCGTTACCACCAGTGTCAAGTTCAGGGACAAAAATTCTGTAATATAGTTATTCACAACAATTGCATTTAACAAAGATTTTTATGTTTATTCTAACATGTAAATTTAACTAGTAATATATCCGTTCAAGAAATATTACTACTTGATATGTCCACACTGTTATCAACAATACTAACGTCTCCATCATTTAATCCATGCACTAAATAATATACATGTTCAAATTTGTGGGCCATGTTAGTGCGTGAGCCTTTTAGAAGACCCTGTACTAGCAAACAACTTGGTTTTTGAAATCTTACACCAACTTAGAATTTTCAGATTATCATTTTTCAACTTCCCTGTCTGTTCAAAGACATGTGGACCATATGTTTAAATGACAAATTTCCTTCCCAAGCATGCACCCCTGCTACAGCGAGACGAGATATGCAGATCAGTGTGAAACCTGTGGGTACCACCTCTTTGTGTTGCACAAGTCTATGGTTAAGAGTGCGCCCAACGGTGGTGGCTAACTAGATTGGACAGACCACACATAATGCCAAAAATTCCCAAACTTGAAAGCACAGGATCAATTTTACAAAAGTAAAATTGAATAGTATATTGTCCAGAGCAGCAATAAATTTTGATTATTTGCTCAAGCCCACTCTGATGGTCCAGCCATGAAGCAGTGTCTTATTCACTGCTTTCTATAATAATGGGATGAAGTAATGTGTGGTGAAATGTAGGCATGAGCAGTATCACAACAATGTAAGAAAAAATTTAGGCAAGCTTGATTATGCTCATAAAAGCTATGAAAGGTCAGAATGTGTTGGGCTCTCTCAGATGCATGGTGTGTGTGGTTATGTGACCATCCGACTATGACCGATTCACTATTTGCAATATGGTCAGGTGACCACACACTGATAATGGTTATGTGATCCCATTATTCTCAGAATGGTGACAAGCTGGGTGGGACTCTGCGAAAAATGATGCACAAAATCAGCGCAAAAGAGAAACACAGAAAGAATGAGACAGGACAGAGCACTACTTACAACTGACATTTTATGAGAGGAAAGAGGAAGACAAAGACAACATTGACGCTAAAATAACAGGAAGAGAAAAAAAATACAATAAAGAAAAAGTAAAATCACAAAAAAATGTATCACAAAAAGATTATAAAAAATAATAAGGAAAAGTCTTAAGTGATAAACTAATGAAAATAAAAATAAAATTAAAAATTAAGGAGTCTTTTGCACTAGTTTGGTGTCCTATGTTTATTAACTAGGTTATCAAATTATTTTGGAACAATGGTGACTAGATGCCATGGATTATGGCTAAGTGACCACCATTTATTCGCTAATTGCATCTGTCAGTGTGACATGTCAGTCTGTCCAGAGTGTTAGTCACTGACCTTTGCCATGAAACTCGACTGGCAAAACACATTATTTGTTGAAACCTGACATCCCCTTTTCACAGCATTAAAGAATTCATGCAACTTTACCCAAACGTTTCATAAATTATACACTCATTCGCCAGAATCAATGAAGAACCATTATTGTAAACTACCTCATCACATCCCCTCCCAGACGGGTAACAGTTGCAAAATTGCTTTCAATATTTCACGAACCTTTCAAGGTACCTGTCTACAGCCGGAAATTTTGCTCTAAAATAAGCTGTGTGATATCATTGTTTTGCTATCCAGCAGAGATAATTTGATAAAGGTGCGGACTCACGAGAAGTACTAATAAAGCGCCGAATTCAATTTTTCTTTTTTTGCAAAAAACAAAGTGAAAACATTTTTTTTTGTAAATCCATCACTGGCAGACAAACACACTATACCAGTGAGTAATGCTTGTAGTTTGCTAAGACAGTGGTCTGTTACAAAACCTTCACATACTCTTCGTTAGTGGCAAAGGTATCCCTGCATCTATCTATCTCTGAGAATTATTCTTTCTCTCTAGTGACAGTGGACTCTTACGCTCATTGAATTATTTCACTTCTGCTTCTCTTCAAAATGAGTCTCATGTTCACTTCCCATTTATTAAGTGAACACTGTAGTGAATCATACTTACAGCCTCACACATTCCACTCCAGCTCTGCTATTTTCTTGACCAGGTTAAGTACTTTCTTGTTCACTTCTGACTTGGAGCGCTTGGCTCTGGTGCCACGGTCAGGGTTCATGCTCAGGAAACCTCTGCAATAAGCATCAGTGCCATAAAAGAAACATTTCATCCAAGTTGGTAACCTGAAAAGTTAGTCAATTTTGTCATGTGTGTTACATATGTATACATGACCGAAGGGAGAGACTAAAAGAAAGTCAAATATTTAGTAAAGAGAATATCAGGAGGGGCCAAACTGCGGCTCGTGAGCCGCATGCATCTCTTCATGCCCCCCTATTGCAGCTCTCCTAACCCGAGTACCCACAAGTTATAACAGGTGGGACCAAACACTAAGCTTGTTTACAAAAACGTTACAGTGAGAAGCGGGAGCATATTAAAATATGCAATATTGCTGGAGTTGTTTCGTTGTAGAAGGGCACGTTAAAATGACATGTAATGGTCAGAAGAGGCAAATCAGTTTGAAAGATAAGCTCTATTTTTTTTATTTCCTTTTTCACCTTTTATTTCACCTTCACATGCCAGTATGAGGCAGTGTTAGCTTTGTGCTTAAATGTTTCCCTAAAATTGATTTCTGAGGTTTGTTATTACAATGCAGTCCAGCTGCCTGATGAAACACCAAGACCACTGGCCTATGCATACATGCAATTGAAGCTGTTTGATTGACTGCGAGAGCAGACAAGGGTTTTTATTCACCTGCCTCTATCTTGCATGTGCAGTGCCTTGCGGCGAAACGCATGCACTCGATCTGTGGACTCTGCTCGGGTGCAATTTCAATAAAAAGTACAGCATTGGTGCAGGATGTGGGAGCTATAGTTGTTTGGAGCTGGCGGAAGCAATTGGGACAGCTTTCCAATCAGCGAGATATGTGCTCTTCTATTTAACAAATGAGAAGGAAGGTACCAACTGTGGCTCCATGTCTTTCATGACAGTAAATGTGCAAGGTGTTTGCTTTATTTCAATAGGAACAATAAGCCTGGAAATGATATAGATAAAAAGTATGGAGTCCTACTAGGCATCCACATACCGTAATATCCCAAGTCATCGCCCATCCCCGAGTCATCGCCCACCCCATTTTTTGGGCCAATATCGATTTCCGAAAAAACACCGAGTCATCGCCCACCCCTTCAAATACCCCAGCGCGGACTCTGCGATCCGCGAACACTCATCCTACCCGAATGACGCGGCCGCGGACCTTACAGTTCGAGGGCGTCCGTGACAAAGTAAAACAAAGGAGGGAAAGACACTTCTTTTTGTTTACCTCTGTGAGCGACCCCAAAGTGGTCGTGTATCCGTGTGAAAAGAAAACGATGGAGATAACAAAATAAGAGTTTGTTAATGTAACCGCAGAGTGTTAGGTCAAAGTCTGTCTCCACCGAAGTAAGGTCACCGCGGACCCGCTCCTTCTTCCCGCCTGTCGCGACTGCGGTTGTGCAATATTTTAGGCAAAGCCAACGCGTAAATAAAGCTTTGCTGGAACGCCCTACACAGACGTTTGCAGAGCGTCCCAACCGTGCATCGATAGCCCGCCATGCACGGACGCACGTATGTACGCACCAAACAAGAAAGTTGCGCAAGAGCTTGCAATTGACAAGGCGCCCGACTTGGCCCGACGCCAAAGTATTTGCCAACGCGACCTCCGGCTTTCCCGCTTTCCCAGCATTGCTCTTGGTCGCTTCTTTGGTCCGCTCGCTCGCTCGCTCGCTCGTTGGGCCTGGTCGGTTTTTCTATTTTCTTGTAGACTTTTCTTTCTTTTTTTTTTGTTTTACTAACTAGGAGAACATAGTGGTGACATTCTTTCACGGAACAAACGTTCGCGCTATATGCAGATCGGCGGTGTTTCTAGCGCGTATGCAAGCAACGGACTTCGCTATAGCAAAATATTCTTTCGTGAGCATTTTTTTCTATAAAACAATGAAACTAAATCAAGTTTTGAGTTTGATGTATCTCTTGTGCATCAGCGCTAGATACGCAGAGAAAAATAGGCGTTTTTTTCCGCTTTTTTTCAAGTGTTTGTGCTCACCCACCGAGACATGGCCCACCCCACTTTTTTAATGAATTTCAGGTGGTAGGGGGGTGGGCGATGACTCGGGATATTACGGTATATATACCAAAAATCACAGAACAGGAAATTACCTCTGAAGGAACTCAAGGGTCGATGACAGGCCTTCACCGTAGCAGATGTTAAAGCAATAGTGACTCGCGAAGAGTGCAGCCCATGCCGTAGGGACGTCTGGTATCTTCTGAACCATGAGCCTGCCATCAATGCTGAGTGCGTACTCGTGGGCAGTCCACAGATCATCCCCTACAGAAGTTTAAAAAATGAGAAAATAGTAAATAGTGTGCTTCTTCCTTGCGGATCCCAAAGGATTCACAACCTCAAAAGCGTCCTGATACAGCAGTAGCTTAAATGTTGGCACCCCAGTACTAAAGAACGGATTTGATTTGTAGACTGAACCGTCTGATATGTCTTGCATGTAGCTCGCGTCCCTGTCATCTAAAGACGTGTTAAGAATGCAGTCAGCAAGCGAACCATTCTGCAGTAGGCTCTTTAAGCTTTCCAGTACTGGCACATATTGAAATGAGCGATCTCTCTTGTTTCCGTCACGCCCAAGATAAATCTGCACTGGCTGGACGTATGAAAACTTTTGTTTAAAGTAGGCTCTTCTTTTGTGTTCACTATTGAACACGGTAGCATTCAGACTGCTGAATACATCGTGGCTGTTTGCATCCGCAACAATTTCTTTAGCATCAGCCGTCCCCAGGCGTTCATCCAACTTGTCATGCAAGGCTTTAAACATGCACTGCTTACTCGAGCCATGCAGGTTTTCGATTTCTTGCCACAAATGCTGAACTGTGGAAGCAGGTAAGCAGTACTTCGATTCTAGTTTTAGGTAAAAGAGAGCCAGATCGTACTCGACACACTTTTTGAACTCACTTGGAGATGGTGAAAACTGAGGGGTGCCACCTCCAGAGTTAGCATCCTCCATGCTTGCATCTTTTGGAGAAGCGCTGCTCTGACAACCGGTCGCAGCTAACACGTGTGCCTGTTGCCCTGAAGAACTGGTTGCGCCTAAGGCGCTTGCCTGTTGCTCCGAAGAGCCGCTCGCTTGTTGGGCTGATTTTACATGTTTTCTTGATAGGTGAGACGCAAACGTAGGTTTCGCAGTGAACGACTTGTCACAGCTAAAATACGGGCAACTGACTGACTGCCCGTTGTCGATGTGCTCTCTAAGATGAGTTACTATCTGAGCCCTACTCGAGCACTCGCGAACGCATCCGTGCACGCCGCAGTTTAAGTTTACGTCACCCGTTAAATCGAGCCGAGGTCCACTCGCGCGCAGTTGACCTTTATGAAACCGTAATATGTGAGGTCTGAGCCCTACATAAGTAGTGAACTGCAAACAACAAGTTGCGTGTATACTTGGAATCTGCCGCGCTCCGAACTCGTGGCTGTCATAATGACGCACATATTCGACCAACGTGGTTGACGCCTTTGAACAAACGCGGCAAACAAACATGGTTGTTCAAGCCGTCGCCTCACTAAAGCGAGAGAAAAGAGCTAAGACCGACAAATCGCGAGAATGTGCAGTATTAATCTGAAGCTATCTTTGGCTGGCTCTCAATCGCTTGTGCTCCCTTCCCGAAAAGGAGCACGAACGACGATCGCCAGCCGGCCAGCGATGCACTCCGTCAACGCACATGCTGCCGGTTTGTCGGTGTCGGCTCTTTCTCGATCTTGCCGGCCACGGGCATTAATTTTCTCAGAATCGGATCGTGCTTGCCACATTCATATTCAAAATGATACTCACGTTATGTTCGTTTACTATCGGGCCCGCCAAATGCCTCGGGTGTTGCGCCGTCAGCCGTCTTGGTAGCCACGGTCGTGCTCCCTACCGCAAACTTTCCTCGCTTTGTTTTCTTCCTTCGGGAAACAAATATGGCGACCCGACAGTGGGAACGGGGGAACGGCGCGAATGCAGCGAAGGTGGCGAAGGCAGCGAAGGTGCGAAAGCAAGGAAGCGCGATGGCGAGGGCTGTGGGCGAGGGTCAAGGCGCGAGCCGCGAACTGGAGAGCAGCCTGACGACGCAGGCGTAGAAGGCCCCCAACACATCACGTGCGTGCCGTGCCTGTGTCTGGAGCGTGGTGCGGAGTGTGTAGCGCGCCTCGCTTGGGGCGTTCCGCTTCTTTCCTTCCGTCGCCGTGCCTTCTCTCGTTCCACTTCTTTCCTCCCGTCGCCGTACCCTTTTCACTCAAAAAACATTGTCAACATACCGTATCTTTTTTTTTACGGTGGGCGCCCCGTGACGTTCACGGTCAGGTGACTGTTTATTTCACGGTCATTTTTTACAGTGTAGGTTTGGACCTTTCGGGGCCCCCCGGGTGAGGCAATACACCACTTCGGCCCCTGCTTCTCGTAGACGGGAGTCCTGGTAAGGCCCGGCCAGGATGATTCAGTCTAGTCGCCTTTTTTTCTACTATCCCCTCCGATCTTTCACTCCTACCTTTTTTTATACTTCTCTTCTCTCTTTTCTCTCCATTCCCCTTTCACCTCCATGGCGGCAAGGGCCAACCTTGAGTGGAGGAGGACGCTAGTCTAGACCGATTCTTGGGTATAACATCTGGGTAGGTGCTACTGGAGTAACGTGCACAGCAAAGCCATTTTTGTTATGTGCCGTTACCCTGTCCCATGTTGGGCTCCACGGTGGGCGGCACACCGCAGATGTCGAAGATCTCCCATTTTTATATGGGTTCCAAACCTAAACTTCCTTCTGATCGATCTCTGAAAAGAGTTCGCACCGAAGCCACCGTTCCTCTAAAGACTACCAATAATACTCAAGCCTTCCCAAAGTTTCTAGTAATGCACTGTGAATACGAACTACCACTTGGGAAAGCTCTCCCCATTCCTTGTGGCAAAAACCCTGGAATCATCTGTTGGAAAAACTTACAAAGCAAAGAAGCTTCACTCTGGAGACCTCCTTGTCGAGGTTGAAACTGAGCAACAAAGTAAAGCGCTCTTTGGACTTACTAGTATAGCTGATCACAAAGTCACAGTAACGCCGCATCGATCTCTCAACACCATTCGGGGCGTGATCTCCGAAGATGATCTATTGGGAAATACTGAGGATGAAATCCTTG